TAGAGAAGACAGTAACAAATACAAAGATGAAAAATAGAAAAGAATACCAAAAGTAGGACAAAGGAAATAAACTAAAGTTTAAATAGCAAAAGGAGATTGAGAACGCGGAAAGTCACAAAAATGTATACTCAGAAAGGCTAAACCAACATATTTTCTTCAGACCACAATATTCAGTCTCCGTAGAGACTGTCAAAAATTGCCAATGCCGACTATATTGCAAGTCGTCACGGCGGGGTATTGGGAAAAGTTTTCAATTAGCAATAATCGCGCCTCGGATAAACCTCATTGGCTACGATACTGCCACTGCGCAAAGCTAAAGAACACCGCCCCCCGCGCATCGTCCCTAGGAAGCGAGGGTCCTGTTACAGGAAGGGGTTTTTTTTCAAGTCGAGGGGGAAAACCTTCTATTATTGTTAGCCTGAAAATTAGAGCGCCTGTTACAATCTTATGGTGCTCCCTGTGTGATACATAGAAGGGAGATTATTGGTTTATTTAAGTAGGTTTGCGTGAGGACATGCAGCAAAGCACTATGGGAACAAACATGCTAATTTACTCAGTTCCGAGAGTGCAAGCGGCGATTGGCGGAACGGGCGTTAGGGCGTGATTTATTCCGTTGGCTCCGATTTACTACGTTTTGTAAGGAGGCTTGTTTTTGATCTTAACACAATAAAATATGTGTATAAAGTCTATATAACATAAAATGTAGTTTTAACTGTCTTAAGGGTAAATTCAGTATCGTTGAATATATTCACATACATCTCCAGAACCTTTTGGTCTTCCCAAACTAAAACTTTAAACTCTGACATTAAACTCTTATCTCCCTAGCCCCTTTTCATGGCCAGCCCTTGGCAACCGCTCTCACTCTAGATGTTTTACAAAGCTGAAAACAGGTAATGTCTGTGTTTCTCTTGCCGTAAGAATTCTTTTTAAGCTGGGCGTGGTGGCACACACCTTTAATTCTAGTACTTGGGAGACAAAGGCGGGTGGTGGATCTCTCTGAGTTCGAGGTCAGCAAAGACTACTGAGAGACCCTGTTTACAAGAGGAAGGAAGGGAGGAGGAAGGAAGGAAGGAAGGAAGGAAGAAAGGGAGGGAGGGAGGGAGGGAGGAAGGAAGGAGAAAGGAAGAAAGGAAGGAGAAAGGAAGGAAGGAAAGATTATTGCTAAGATTTATTTATGTGTACGAGTGTTTTACTTGCACACGTGCCTCATGGGAATGTCTGGTATCCATGGAAGTCAGAAGAAGGTATCAGATCCTGGAGTCTCACACAGGTTTGTGAGTCACCACGTGGGTGTTGGGAACTAAACCCAGATCCTCTACAAGAGCAGCCAGTGCTTTAACCGCTAATCATCTCTGACCAGTCCCTTATTGTTATTTTGTGTGTGTGTGTGTGTGTGTGTGTGCGCGCCTCTGCCTTCCAAGTGCTGGGATTAAAGACGTGTGCCACCACTTCCCGGCCTACTGGAACATTTTATGACTCATCCATATTGTAATACTCATCTAGAGCGCATGCCTTTTTATGGCTCAATAATTTTCCATCGAATCGAATTTTATTTATCTACTTATTCTTCAGTTAGCAATAATGGCGATTTTAATTAACCTCATTGGCTTGTTTGAACCTTTTGTCTAATACAAATAATGCTGATATTGGTGTACAAGTATCAGCCTGGGTTCCTGTTTTCAGTTAAAAATGTTTTCTGATTGCATTTATTTATTTTGCACGTGCATACGCATGCGCGCGTGTGCGTGTTTGTGTGTGTGTGTAGGTCTTAGGACAACTTGTGGGAGGTAATTCTCTCCTTCCACTATGTGGGTCCCAGGGATTGAATTCACCCCAGTGCCAAAGATTAAAGGCCATCACAGCCAACCCCACCCCTTTGTAAGGAATGAAACCCAAACTGGGTGCTGGCGTTCACCTTTAATTCTAGCACTTGGGAGGCAGAAGCAAGTGGATGTCTGTCTGTGAGTTCAAGGCCAGCCTGGTCTACAGAGTGAGTTTCAAGACAGTCAGGACTGTTTAACAGAGAAACCCTATCTCAAAAAACAAAAAAAAAAAAAGAGAAGAGAAGAAGAGAAGAAGAGGAGGAGGAGGGGGGGGAAGGAGGAGGAGGAGGGGGGAGGAGGAGGGGGGAGGAGGAGGGGAGGAGGAGGAGGGGGGAGGAGGAGGAGGAGGAGGAGGAGGAGGAGGAGGAGAAACCCAGGGTTGGAGAGGTTAAGTGGCTTTACTCCTCAGAAATGCTGCAGCATATAAAATGTGAAGTAAGTTCCTCTGCCTGTTTTTCTTTGGCCAGTAGAAAGCTGTTCATGACCTGTGTCTGAACTCCTTTCCTGAGGGACATTCTCCATTTTTATTTTGACTTTTGCTACTTATTAAATGCAAACAGTATAATTGGGCCGTGGTGGCGCACATCTTTAATCCCAGCACTCAGGAGGCAGAGGCTGATGGATCTCTGTAAGTTGGAGGCCAGCCTGGTTTGTGTCAGGACTGTTACGCATAGAAACTCTGTCTTGAGCTGGGCGATGTTGGCGCACGCCTTTAATCCCAGCACTCGGGAGGCAGAGGCAGGCAGATCTCTGTGAGTTCGAGACCAGCCAGCTCTACAAGAGCTAGTTCCAGGACAGGCTCCAAAGTCACAGAGAAACCCTGTCTCGAAAAACAAAAACAAAAACAAAACAAAACAAAAACTCTCTCTTGAAAAATAAAAAAAAAATCAAACAGCAGTTGAACCTTTGACCTTTGATCCTAGCACTTAGGAGGCAGAGGCAGGTGGTTCTTTATGCTTTCTGGTCATATAAATCTCTATGCTCTATACTTGGTTTTTCTTGTATTAACTTCAAATTCATCCATTTTTCAAGTTTATGGATGTATTCCTCATAATCCATATTGGTTTTGTGTGTGTGTGTGTGTGTGTGTGTGTGTACACATATGTGTAGGGGAGCCAGTGGAGGCCAGAGAGGAGTGTTTGGGATCCCTCTCTATTACTCTTATTTTATGCCTTTTTTTTTCTTTTTGAGACAGGGTTTCTCTGTAGCTTTGGAGACTGTCATGGACCAGGCTGGCCTTGAACTCACAGAGAGCCACTTGCCTCTGCCTCCTTAGTGCTGGGATTTAAGGTGTGCACCACCACCACTGCCTGGCTACTTTATTCCTTTGAGGTAGAGTATTGTCTCTCTAGCACCTATAATTTCTGCAGGCCAGAAGAGGGCACCAGACCTCATTACAGATGGTTGTGAGCCACCATGTGGTTGCTGGGAATTGAACTCAGGACCTTTGGAAGAGCAGGCAATGCTCTTAACCACTGAGCCATCTCTCCAGCCCCCAGCACCTATAATTCTTTACCTTTCTTTCTCTCTCTCTCTCTTTCTTTCTTTTTTTCTTTTCTCTTTTCTCTTTTTCTTTTTTCTTTTTTTTTTTAAAGATTTATTTATTTATTATGTATACAACATTCTGCCCGCACGCCAGAGGAGGGTGCCAGATCTCAGTACAGATGGTTGTGAGCCACCATGTGGTTGCTGGGAATTGAACTCAGGACCTCTGGAAGAGCAGCCAGTGCTCTTATCCTCTGAGCCATCTCTCCAGCCCCCCTCTTTTTCTTTTTTCAAGACTGGGTTTCTCTGTGGCTTTGGAGCCTGTCCTGGAACTTGCTCTTGTAGACCAGGCTGGCCTCGAACTCACAGAGATCCGCCTGCCTCTGCCTCCTGAGTGCTGGGATTAAAGAAGCCACTTGGCAGGCTTATATTTAACTCATAGCAGGACATTTAATTACTTTGAAATGGAAGAGAATATACATAGAGGAAACCGAGTCAATTTTGCCAATCATGGTGGCACATGCCTTTAATCGCAGTTCTGGGAAGGCAGAGGTAGGCAAATCTCTATGAAATGGAGGTCAAGCCTGGTCTACATAACAAGTTCCAGGCCAGTCAAGGCTATATAGTAAGACCCTGTCTCAAAAAACAAAACAAGGAGGCTGGAGAGATGGCTCAGCGGTTAGGAGCACTGCCTGCTCTTCCAAAGGTCCTGAGTTCAATTCCCAGCAACCACATGGGTGGCTCACAACCATCTGTAATGAGGTCTGGTGCCCTCTTCTGGCCTGCAGGCATACCCGCAGACAGAATATTGTTTACATAATAAATAAATAAATATTAAAAAGAAAAAACTGGGCTGGAGAGATGGCTCAGTGGTTAAGAGCATTGCCTGTTCTTCCAGAGGTCCTGAGTTCAATTTCCAGCAACCACATGGTGGCTCACAACCATCTGTAATGAGATCTGGCGCCCTCTTCTGGTCTGTAGGCATACAGACAGAACATTGTATACTAAATAAATAAATATAAAAAAAAAAAAAAAAAAAAGAAAAAACTTACATTTAAAAAACAAAACGAAACAAAACGAACAACAACATAAATAAAAAAGAAAACAAGTCAATTGTAAATTATTAAGTGTATTTTAGCTGGGTATGGTGACCCACGCCTTTAGTCCCAGCAAAAAGAGGCAGAGAGAGTCAGGCAGATCTCTGAGTTCGAGGCCAGCCTGGTCTATACAGGCTAAGGGTACAAAGAGAAACCCTGTCTCGAAAAACAAAAAAATAGGGTGAATTCCTAAAGTAGGGCTGTTTAGATGCTTTTTTGCACACAGGACTTTGGAAACATTAACCATTTCTCTACCAGGCATGGTGGCACTAGCCCATAATCCGAGCACTTTTGAAGTGGAGACAGGAGGATAGGAATTTGGAGTCAGAGACCCTGCCTCAAAAAACAACGTAACACAGAAAGACCAACCAATTAACCAAACACAAAACCCCCAAAAGGCACGCATAATCCCAGGTGTCAGCAGCGCACACGGAACCTTAACTGAGCTGACCAGGAAAGACAAACGGAAGTCAGGGGAGGACTGCGGTAGGACCTTGAAGTGAGAGACCCGCAGGATTGTGGGACTTGTAGTTTGCTTTCCAATTAAATAGGCTTCACGGACTACACTTCCCAAGATGCACAGGTAGGTAGCGAGCTGGTCCTACTGTTGGGTGAAAATTGTGGAAGGTAAGTAAGTATTCCGATTCGGCATTAGGTTTCCAGTTGTGCTTTTTTGCTTTTTTTTTTTTTTTTTTTTTTTTTTTTTAAACAGGGGATCCCATTTGTCCTCTTTGTTCCCGAGGGGACACGGAGGAAAACAAACCCGACTGTTTGTTTAGCTTTCACGTGTAGTTGTGGAATGTCCTGGAGAAAGCCGGGTCCTGACCTTATGTGTAGAAAGCCAAGCCTAAAATGTTTGCCTGTCGCTAGGTAATTTCTGCATTATATCACAGGATGTATCCAATGCTTGTTTTTAAAACTAGAAAACCAGACAGGCAAGTGTGTGCGTGCGTGCGCGCGCGCGTTGTCTTCTGTGTCCAACTAGCAGAATTTACAGAGCACATTAAACAGATATTATGAGGGAAATGAAGTAATTTAAAGTGTGCTTGTGAAGACACGAATAAAACCAAACGCCCGAAAGATCAGATCAACGTCCTGAAAACTGCCATGTTGGACTGGGTATAGCTTGGTGATAGAATGAGTGATTACATAGTGTTGTGGATACCCAACACCATGTAGAAAAACAAAACAAAAGCAAACACCAACGAAAGAGAAAATAAAAAAAAACCTAACATACTAGAATTCAAATATCTCATGGAGAAATAAGGTAATTCTGGTTTAGCTGGGTGTGCCCGGGCTACAGGCATCCTGTCTCAAGAAAAGAAAAGAAAAGAAAAGAAAAAGTAATAATTCTGATTTAAACAAAGCAGGGTTAGAGAGCAAATAGTCCCTTGATGGATAGTATTAACGAAAATACAGATAAGTAGACCCATATGGTGCTGCACGCCTTTAATCCCAGGACTCAGGAAGCAGAGAAGGTGGATGGATCTCTGTGAGTTCGAGGCTAGCCTGGTCTACAGAATGAGTTCCAGGACAGTCAGGGCTCCACGGAAGGAAGAAAAGTTTGTTTTTAAAATATTTAAAATTTAGCCGGGCAGTGGTGGTACACGCCTTTAATCCCAGCACTTGGGAGGCAGAGGCAGGTGGATCTCTGTGAGTTCGAGACCAGCCTGGTCTACAAGAGCTAGTTCCAGGACAGGCTCCAAAACCACAGAGAAACCCTGTCTTGAAAAAACTAAAAAAAAAAAAAAAAAAAAAAAAAAAAAAAAAAAAAAAAAAAAAAAAATTAAAATTTGCTAAATTAAATTTTCCGTGTATTTTACCTGCACATATATTTGTGTACCAACCACCTTTGCTCCCAGTGATTGCAGAGGCCAGAAGACGGGGTCTGATCACCTGAAACTAGAGTGAGCCCCCATGTGGGTTCCGGAATTTAACCCAGAACCTTTGGAAGAACAACCAGTGCCCTTAACCTCTGACCCATCTCTCCAACCCTGTAACTGACTTCTTATATTTAACACAACCCCCCACCATGTACTGTCTCTCGATTTCTCTTTTGAGTTTAGCCCAGACTGGCCTCTAACTCTCTCGTTAGCTGAGGATAGCCCTTAACCTTCCTGCTTCCATCTCCCGAGTGCTGCAATTCTAGGCATGGACCACCATGACGAATTTTCATAGCTGATGTATACCCGCAGTGGATAGACATGCTTTTTGTTTATCCATTCCTCGCTTGGTGGTTAACTTTCTTGGTAAAACCCAGCTTCTCTCATGGATTTCTTTTTCTCTAGAAGGAGAATGAGTGGATTGACTTTCAGGTCAACAAAAGCCCATTGGACAGCGAACCTCAGCCGGCCGTGCTCTCATGGACCTACTGGGTTATTCGTGCCGCCAAGCCCTCCTCTGGACCCTGAGAAGATCAAGGAGTTACAGCGCTTCATTACCCTTTCCAAGAAACTTCTAGTGATTACTGGCGCAGGAATCTCCACGGAGTCTGGGATCCCAGACTACAGGTCGGAAAAGGTGGGTCTTTACGCCCGCACGGACCGGAGACCCATCCAGCATATCGATTTCATACGCAGCGCTCCAGTTCGTCAGCGGTACTGGGCCAGAAACTTTGTGGGCTGGCCTCAGTTCTCCTCTCACCAACCCAACCCAGCACATTGGGCCTTGAGCAACTGGGAGAAATTGGGGAAGCTGCACTGGTTGGTGACTCAGAACGTGGATGCTCTGCACTCTAAGGCGGGGAACCAGCGGCTGACAGAGCTCCATGGATGCATGCACAGGTGCTGGAGTCTGCGGGGTTTGCCCATAAAAGGATGTGTGGTTCCCCAGGCGAAGGGCGGTTGGCTGCCTTAGATCCGCAGCCAAGGCTTCCTGGGCAAGTCGTTGGCTTTGGAGATAGCCGAGAGAACTGAGAGGGGAAATAGGGACAGAAACTGAGAAGGGAGCAGGCTGGCTTGTGTGGTGCGCTGCTCGCATGTGCAAAGCTCTGGGTTCAGTTTCCCAGCACCAGGAAAAATGTGAGTGGGGCTGCACCCCGCGGGGACCCCCAGTCTAGACTGTAGCGTGAGTGGGGCTGCATCCCGGGGACCCCCGGTCTAGACTGTAGCGTGAGTGGGGTTGCATCCCGGGGACCCCCAGTCTAGACTGTAGCGTGAGTGGGGCTGCACCCCTCGGGGACCCCCAGTCTAGACTGTAGTTCAGAGTTATCGCAACTGTACAGAAAGAGCCACTTTGGGGGTGGTGAGTAGTATTGCTAACCCTGAGTTTGGGTTGAAAAAATGAGAATTATTTCACCAAAAGTGAAGAAAACTAGGGTGTTAATAAACCATCTCCAATCTCACTATGGTCCAGCATCACTGTTGGGGAATTAACTCCCTAACATGCTCACTTCTTGTTTCTTCCTATTTGTTTGTTTTATGGAGTCTCTCTGTGTAGCCTTGAGTAACCTGGAACTCACTCTGTAGACCAGGCTGGTCTCAAACTCACAGAAACCCAGCCTGCCTCTGCCTCCCCAGTGCTGGGATTAAAGGCGTGCGCCACCACCCTTCAAAAAGTGTCCACACAGGCACTGCGGAGGGGCACAGGTTTGAGTACCAAGGTGATCGACTGTGGACAAAATGGTGGCTGGCCATACGCAAATGTAGTGATAAACATCAGTCGGGACCTTGTTCTAGCCTAGTGGTTCTCAGCCTTCCTAACGCTGCGGCCCTTTAATATGGTTCCTCGTGTTGTGGTGACCCCAGTCAAAGAATTATGTTTGTCGTTACTTCATAACTATAATTTTGCCACTGTTTGGAATCATAACATAAATATCTGTTATGCAGGATATCTGATATCCGACCCCTTGTGAAAAAGTCGTTCAACCCCAAAGGTTTGTGGCCCACAGGTTGAGAACCACTGTTCTAGAAGGTTGCAAAGAAGGGAAAGGAGAACACGAAAATGAAACTGGATGTCCTACTTGTGATTGTTTTTTGTCGGGGGATTGAAAATGGTTGGGGCTTTATCCCTCCCAGGAACTATACTCAGAAGGTCTCATATTGCCTTTAGAGTCCTGTGCCTGAGCTGTGGGGAACAGACTTCCCGCAGGGTACTGCAGGAACGCTTCCAAGTCCTGAACCCCAGCTGGAGCGCTGAGGCGCAGGGCGTGGCCCCCGACGGTGATGTGTTCCTCACTGAGGAACAGGTCCGGAGCTTTCAGGTCCCGTCCTGTGATCGGTGCGGAGGTCCGCTGAAACCAGATGTTGTTTTCTTTGGGGACACAGTGAACCCAGACAAGGTTGACTTTGTGCACAGGCGCGTGAAAGAGGCTGATTCGCTACTGGTGGTCGGATCGTCCCTGCAGGTACCTGGCTCTGTAAGGGTTGCAGAGGCCCTTGCCCGTTTTATAGGGTGTGAAGCCCTAGAGGTTTGCTCTTAGTTGAGCTTCCCTTTTAGTCTTCGTGTGTGAGTGTGTGCGTGTGAGTGTGTGTGTGTATATATATATATATATATATGCATGAGTGTGCACATGTGTATGCTGGCGTGTCAGTGTTGGGTGTCTGTTACTGCCTACTTTAGGGTTTTTGCTTTTGTTTTGAGACAGGGTTTCTTTTTTTATAAAAGGTCACTTTGTGGGACATTTTTTTTTTTTTTGGTTTCTTTCTTTCTTTCTTTCTTTCTTTCAGATTTATTTATTATGTATACAGTATTCTGCCTACATTCATGCTTGCAGGCCAGAAGAGGGCACCAGACCTCATTACAGATGGTTGTGAGCCACCATGTGGTTGCTGAGAATTGAACTCAGGACCTTTGGAAGAGCAGGCAGTGCTCTTAACCACTGAGCCATCTCTCTAGCCCCCAAGACAGGGTTTCAACAGCCCTGGGTGTTGGGAACTGAACCCGGGTCCTATGCAAGAGCAACAAGTGCTCTTAACCACTGAGTCATCTCTCCAATCCCTGGCATAATTTGTGACACAGTCTCTCACTGAACTTAGAGGCCCTGGAATGACTGGACTGGCTGGTCAGTGAGCTCTTAGGAACCGTTTGGTTTCCCTCTGTGAACATTAGGTTTACACACGATTCCCACCAAACCCAGTGTTTACATGGATGCTGGGAATCTGATCTCAGGCTCCCACACTTGGGCAGCAAGAGCTTTCTCCAAAGAACCATTTCCCAAGTACCACCACCCCTTTGTAGACTTGTAGACTGAGTGATCGATTGACTGATTGGTTGGTGGTTGATTGTCTGTAGGTCAGACGACAACTTGTGGGATTAGTTCTCCCCTACCTACCTTTCATCATGGGTTTCGTGGGTTTTGGGAATTGAACTGACACCATCTGGCATGGCTGCTGGCTCCTTTACCTGCCGAGCTTCTCTTCTCCCTTTTATCTTTTTTTGTTGTGCTTTGTTTCTGAGGTGAGGTGGTTCTTTACCTGGATCTAGAGCGAACTCTTGTCCTCCATCTGGGCAGGTGTACTCTGGTTACCGGTTCATCCTCACTGCCCGGGAGAAGAAGCTTCCTATTGCCATTCTGAACATTGGACCCACTAGGTCAGATGACTTGGCCTGCCTGAAGCTGGATTCCCGCTGCGGAGAGTTGCTGCCTTTAATAGATCCACAGTGACCGAGGTCTGGTGCTCAGAGTCTGGGAATGGAGTTCCTGTTGAGTCCTGCTGCTAAAGGTAAGACACCTTCTCAGACAGAAGGGTCTAATCTGGTGTAGTGGCTCATGTTTGTGACCCCAGCCCTCAAGAGTCTAATTAGACGGTGGTCTAGAGGTCAGGGCCAGTCTCCATACATAGTGGGTTCTAGGCTAGATTAGGTCACAGGTATGAGACCCTAACTCCAAATTCAAAAACAAAAACCAGATGACAGATTCAACTTCCTGTTAGATTAAGGACTCAGGTGGCAGACAAAAAAGACAGCTCTAGACTTAACATATGACTTTATTTATTTATTTATTTATTATGTATCTGTGTGTATGTCTGCAGGCCAGAAGAGGGCACCAGACCTCTTTTTTTTTTTCTAAATATTTATTTATTTAGTATACAATGTTCTGTCTGTATGCCTACAGGCCAGAAGAGGGCGCCAGACCTCATTACAAATGGTTGTGAGCCACCATGTGGTTGCTGGGAATTGAACTCAGGACCTTTGGAAGGGCAGGCAATGCTCTTAACCACTGAGCCATCTCTCCAGCCCCCGGCACCAGACCTCATTACAGATGTTTGTGAGCCACCATGTGGTTGCTGGGAATTGAACTCAGGACCTTTGAAAGAGCAGGCAATGCTCTTAACCCTTAGCAATCTCTCCAGCCCCCATATGACCATTTTTTTAAAAAAAAAAAAATTAAAACTAACTTTACTTTTAACAGTAGATAGGATTTTTACTGTTGTTATGTTTTTGTTTTTAACCTGTTTTTAATTTTTGTGTATGATGTTTTGCTTGGATATTTGTCTGTGCAACATATTCATGCAGTGCCTACAGAGGCCAGAAGGGGGCATTAGATTCCCTGGTCCAGGAGTTACAGGTTGTAATCTACTCCATGGATGCTGGCAACCAAGCCAGGGCCTCTTTGGGAGCAGCAAATGCTCTTGCAGGCTGAGCCATCACTCAGCCCTGTGTTGTTGGCTTCTAAGGACATAGTTTTGCTGTGTAACCCTGGCTGTTGTGACACTTGCTATGTAGCCCAGCCTGGCCTTGGATCTGTTGCAGTCCTCTTGACCCAGCTTGCCAAGGGTGCACCCAGTTTTAGGTCTAGTTTATTTGTCTTTCTTTAGAGGTTTCTGTATTTATTTATGTTTATGAGCGCTGTGTCTACCAGTAGGTCTGCAGTACAGGAGAGGGCCTCAGATGCCCTTACAGACGGCTGTGAGCCACCATGTGGTGCTGGGAATTGAACTCAGGACCTCTGGAAGAGCAGCCAGTGCTCTTCATCAGTGAGTTATTTCTCCAGCCCTTGTTTGTCTTTCTTTAGAAACAACACAACACAAGATGTCCCTGGTGTGCACTGCTTTTGCAGAGGACTAGAGCCCATTTCCCAGCTGGTGGCTCACAGCTGCCTGAACTCCAGTTCCAGGGGAGTCCAACATCCTCTTCGGAACTCTTTGAGGTCATATGTATATATGTATATATGTATGTATATAGACATGTATTCTTGTCTGAGGACATATGTATATATGGATGTATATAGACATGTATTCTTGTCTGAGGACATATGTATATATGTATGTATATAGACATGTATTCTTGTCTGAGGACATATGTATATATGTATGTATATAGACATGTATTCTTGTCTGAGGACATATGTATATATGTATGTATATAGACATGTATTCTTGTCTGAGGTCATATGTATATATGTATGTATATAGACATGTATTCTTGTCTGAGGACATATGTATATATGTATGTATATAGACATGTATTGTCTGAGGTTATATGTATATATGTATGTATATAGACATGTATTCATGTCTGAGGACATATGTATATATGTATGTATATAGACATGTATTCTTGTCTGAGTTTATATGTATATATATATGTATATAGACATATATTCATGTCTGAGGACATCCGCGCATACAGACACATGAGTGCTCATGTAATTAAAAATAAACCTCTCTTTTGAGGGTGAGTTTTGAGACAGGGTTTCTCTGTTTAACCCAAGCTATCCTGGAACTCTCTCTGTAGACCAGGCTGGCCTCGAACTTACAGAGATTGGGCTGCTCTGCTGGGAACAAAAGCGTGCACTGCCACTGCTCAGCTTAAAAAAAAAAATCTTGAAGGTACATTTTAGTATACATTTTCAAACTTGGTGTAGTTATTACATAATTAAAGAATTTCTATCACTTCAGGAAGAAACCTACCAATTCCCATAACTCTGACACCACTATTAACCAACCTCTGAGAATGAATAACATTTTTCTGTGTGTTTATGTCTCCATCTATACATCCATCCATCAGTGTGTCCATCCCTCCTTCTATACATACATCTTTCATTGTGACCATAGTCATCTATACAAACATCTGTCAGTTTGTCCATTCTTCCATCTATACATACATCTGTCAGTGTGTCCATCCCTCATCTATACATACAACTGTCAGTGTGTCCATCCTTCCATCTATACATACATCTGTCAGTGTGTCCATCCTTCCATCTATACATAGATCTGTCAGTGTGTCCATCTCATCTATACATACATCTGTCAGTGTGTCCATCCCTCCATCTATACATACATCTGTCAGTGTGTCCATCCTTCCATCTATACATATATCTGTCAGTGTGTCCATCCCTCATCTATACATACATCTGTCAGTGTGTCCATCCCTCCTCTATACATACATCTGTCAGTGTGTCCATCCCTCATCTATACATACATCTGTCAGTGTGTCCATTCTTCCATCTATACATACATCTGTCAGTGTGTCCATCCCTCATCTATACATACATCTGTCAGTGTGTCCATCCCTCCTCTATACATACATCTGTCAGTGTGTCCATCCCTCATCTATACATACATCTGTCAGTGTGTCCATCCTTCCATCTATACATACATCTGTCAGTGTGTCCATCCCTCATCTATACATAGATCTGTCAGTGTGTCCATCTCTCCATCTATACATACATCTGTCAGTGTGTCCATCCCTCATCTATACATACATCTGTCAGTGTGTCCATCCCTCATCTATACATACATCTGTCAGTGTGTCCATCTCTCCATCTATACATACATCTGTCAGTGTGTCCATCCTTCCATCTATACATAGATCTGTCAGTGTGTCCATCCTTCCATCTATACATACATCTGTCAGTGTGTCCATCCCTTCATCTATACATACATCTGTCAGTGTGTCCATCCTTCCATCTGTACATACATTCATGCGTTCATGGACTTTTCAACGACTGTGTAGATTTTTAATTTTTTTTTTTTGTGACAGGGACTTGATATGTAGTCCAAACTAGCTTCAAACTTGAAGTGCCCCTGCCTCAGCCATCTTTGTACTCACATTTCAGGTTTGCACTTCCACACCCTGCCAGCATATAGTTTTCTCTACTTACCATAATATACTAAGACTCATTTCTGTACTTTATTTCTTCTTTTTTTTCTGAAAAAAGAGTTTCTTTGTGTAGCCTTGGCTGTCCTAGAACTAGCACTGTAGACCAAGCTGGCCTTGAACTCACAGAGATTCACTTCTCTCTGCATCTGGAGGGCTGGGATTAAAGGTGTGCATCACCACTGTTTGTAAATGCTGGACATTTTTGCAGCTTTATTTTGTATGTGTGTGCATGTGTGTGGATGCACAGGTAACATGGCACACGTGTCCAGGTCAGGGAACAATGTATAGGAGTCAGCCCTTGCCTTCTACCTTGTGGGTTCTGGGGATTGAGCTCATGCCCTCTGGGCTGGTAGAAAGCTCCTTTCCCCACTTTCCCCACAGAGCCTTCTCACAGGCCTTGGGTTTGGTTTTTGGTTGTTTTTGGGAGTCCTTTTTGTTTTTTTTTTTGGTTATTCAAGTCAGGGTTTCTCTGTAGCTATGGATCCTGTCCTGGAACTAGCTTTTGTAGACCAGGCTGGCCTCGAACTCACAGAGATTCACCTGCCTCTGCCTCCTGAGTGCTGGGATTAAAGGCGTTCGCCACCACCACCCGGTGGTTTTCAGAGTCTTTCTGTGTAGTCCTGGCTGGCCTGTGTAGACCAGGCTGCCTCTGATCCACCTGCCTCTGCCCTCAAAGTGCTGGGATTAAATGTGTGTGACACCATGCCTGGTCCATCCTTTTTTTGTTGTTGTTTTGTTTTGTTTTAGGTAAGTTGATGTTTGCAACCATTTCATCCTCTCCGTTAATATTATCCTGTTTGATTTCTTTTTAGATGCCGAAAGTTTCTTCCTTTGCCTTCAAACTAATGGAAGCTGACTACGCCCTATAGAGGGCACAAAGCAATGTCTGCAGGCCAGTCCACCAGTGCACACCCCCGTTTACAGACAGCTGTCAGAGTCCTCGTGCAGATGAGAGCTGCCCTCCTAAGAAGGACTTTAAAGAAGCAGCTGTTCTTGACAGCACAACTGTGCCACCTTCCTTTTCATCCCACTGGGAAGAAGGAACACCTGGGAAGTCCATGAGCCAGCGTGGTCTGTGGAGGCCACCATTCAGACCTCACTAATTCAGGGAAGAACCAGAAGGGCATCTATAATTGACTTCTAATTCCACATGGTTCTGTCTGACTGAAGCACTTTGATATTTTAACAGCATGAGCAACAGCACAATGAAATTTTATTAACCAAACAATAAATTATTTTAAATAGCGTACCAAGTTGTATGGACTGTACATTTGTGTATACAAGAAAGTAGGTGTTTAGGCTAGTGTGCCCTAAGGATTTCTACTTGATGTTCGCTCTCAGAAGGGGACGCCTGCCTTGAACCTGGTGTGTAAAGAGAGAACAGTTCATTCCATGTGGGTTCTTCAGCTGGTATGTGTGATCACTGCGCTCGATGGAAAGAACCGGTGTGTCCTGAAACATGAGGCACATGAAGACTCACGCTCTTCCTTGGAAAGCCCCATGTCTGAGTTGGGGACAGGCAGCTCATGCTTCCCTGTCCTGACCTCGGGAGCAATCTCAGCTCACAGGGTAATCTGTGGTCTTGGGCTGTGTAGAGCTGTGGGGCTTCCCAGTCATTCATTCAGAAGACACACAGGGTTGTAGATTTCACTCCAGGATTTTTTCTTAAAGACTTATTTTACTATTTTCAATTTGTTCATGTGTATGCTTGAGTGTATGTGCAGCTGCTCAAAGAGTCATGGAATCCTTGGAGCTGGAGCCACAGTTCATCATCAGCGGGTTTATGAAAGTGCTGGGAACTGAACTCTGAACAGGTAGCTAGGGCTCTATATACCTGTTAAGCCATGTCTCTAGCCTTCCTACTCACCCCTCACTTTTTTCTTTTAAGTCAAGGGCTCACCTGTAGGCATACATGTTTTCTTTGTATTCTATACTGAGGTGGAATTCTAAAAATAAATACATAAACAAACAAATCTCCCCCAAGAAGAACTTGGTATTTCCCAAAGCCCTGGAACTCACTCTGAAGATCAGGCTTACCATAACTTACAGAAATCCACCTGCCTCTGCCTCCTGAGTGCTGGGATTAAAGGTGTGTGCTAGCACACCCGTCCTAGAAAGTTTTCTTTCTCATTTACACTTACTACAAACGGAGTTGAGCATGGAATTGAAACTTGGAAAATAGACAGAAGTGGGTTTCAGTCTGTTTTTCTATTTACTAACTAGATGAACCTAAGTTATTTTGTGTGATTTCCAGGCATATTTTGAATACATAAGGATTGGCTAGGGATGCAGCACAGTTGGTAGAATGGTTGCCTGGCAACACAACACCCTAGGTTATATCCCTAGCACATAAACTGGGTATGATGGTGCACCCCTGCAATCCCAGCTCTCAGGCTGAGGACAGGAGCATTAGCAGCTTGAGGTCATCCTTGCCTACGTAGTGCGTTGGAGGCTAGCCTGGGATAGCACACTAGACCCTCAAAAAATAAAACTTAGAATAATAGTTACTTCCGTGGGTTTTGAAGAACAAGTCACATGGCCGAGCATCTGGCCCACAGTAAGCAAGTCCCCCCTCCCCCTCAACGGCTAGTGTATAGGATGGAGAAGGAGATGGCTTCAATTCTGTTAACTTTTGTCCCTATCGAGTACACCTAGATTTCTGGATGATCTTCCCCAGGGCCTCAGTTTTATTTTCCTTTATAGATTATTTATTTATTTATTTATTTATTTATTATGTATACAATATTCTGTCCGTGTGTATGTCTGCAGGCCAGAAGAGGGCACCAGACCTCATTACAGATGGTTGTGAGCCACCATGTGGTTGCTGGGAATTGAACTCAGAACCTTTGGAAGAGCAGGCAATGCTCTTAACCACTGAGCCATCTCTCCAGCCCCTCCTTTATAGATTTTTAAAAAATGTATTTTCTGTGTGTGGGTGTGTTGTCTGCATGTACATCTGCATACCAGAAGAGAGCATCATATTCCATTCTAGATGGCCGTGGGCTGACGTGTAGTGCTGGGAATTGAACTTAGGTCACTGCGTCTGTGTAGGCAGCTCAAGCTGCACCTGCTGCTCCCCAGACCTGTCTTGGGCAGGGCAAGGCCTGAACTTTGGGTGGGACAGGAGCGGGGATGGCTTTGGGGGTAGAAAGGCAGAGGACTGGGCAGCTGTCCATTAAATGAAAAGTGAGACCGAGAACCATGTAGCCTACACCAACCAATAGGACATTTTATTCTTAATTCCGGTTGACCAGGGAACCAGGGATTAGCCTGTCTATACCTGCGGGGTCCTGTGATAGAGAAATGGACAGGAGAAGACGTGCTATGTTTTCTTTGTAGCACAAAGGCTGCTGCGTACTTTAGTGAGACATTTGCCCTGTGGTGTGTGTTTAGGCACAGTGAAGACTGGAAGCCCACCAGGATGTCATCCTGCCTTCAGGCTGTTTACAGTCAGTCCAGTTTGCTTTCCTATATCTCACTTCCTAGAATGAGCACACAGCAGATGCTCTTTGAGTCCCACATTTTAGGGCCAAGGTGTGGCCTTTAGTGCCCATATGACACTGCTTCTTCCTCTCTCCCCTCCCTTCTCTCTGCTTCTCTTTCTTTCCCTCCCAACACCTCCCCTCCCCTCCTCTCCTGTACCTTTTCCTGCTTTGTCTCTCCCCTCTCCTTTCCCTTTTCTGTGTCTTCACCCCTACCCCATTTGTATCTCATGCTGGCTACTTCTTCTCCTCCTCCTCTTCTTTTTCTTCCTCCTCTCCTCCTTCTTTTGCTTCAGACAGGGTTTCTTTTTGTAATGTTCCTTGCTGTCTTGTAACTTGATTTTTAATCTTTGGTTGTCCTTGAACTCAAGAGATCTGCCTGTCTCTGCCTCTGCCTCTCTACCCCAGAGTGCTGGGATAAGAGGCATGGCTGGGCTAATCACCCACTGTTGACAGAGGTTTCTGTCCCATCCTGTCCTGTAGTCGTTCAGTCCCAAAGAAACACACGGAAGCCTACATTAACTATAAACTGGTTGACCTATTAGCTCAGCCTTTCTTATTAACGAATTCTTATGTCTTACATTAACCCATAATTGTTGTCTGTGTTAGCCACATTGCGTGGTCCCTTTATCAGTGAGACATTTGCATTTTGCCTTCTTTTGATTTGTCTGTGACAACTGTAGACTGAGCTTTTCCTCTTTCCAGAATCCTCCTATTCTGGCTACGCTGCCTATACTTCCTGCCTGGCTACAGGCCAGTCAGCGTTTTATCAAACCAATTCAAGTGACAAATCTTTACATAGTACAAGACCATGTCCCACAGCAACCCACTCTTCAAGGTGCTCTGCTAATGACAATGTCTTTCCTGTTAACCTTCAGTTTCCAAGGCTAGCAAAGGATGTTCTCTGAGGATCTATTTATGTTTGGTAGACAGAGAAAACCATCACCAATGCTTAGCTCTTTCTGTAGGTGCTTTATTGGAAGGCACAGTGTGTAGTGAACACAACCTGTCAGGCAGCGGAGGTGTAGGCAGTAAATGGGGCGATAAGTCTAACAGAAGGTGTTGAAGCCAACTTCTTCAAACATCGTGTCGGAAAATGCCCATAAGATGCAGCTGGCAGCATTGCGGTCACAGTTGTAGATGGCATCCTGATCGGCATTGTTTTTATCTGCAGAGAATCAAGAAAGGGAGTTGAGTGGAGCTATGACCCTGCTCACTGCCATTTGTAGGCAAAAGGAGCTGGTGGCCCTCCCATAGGTGTAGACTTAGGCTTGAGAGACAAAGCAAACTAAATATATTGGTTTGGCCAAATTGTTGAAACACATTTATAATAATAAAAAAAATCATCCCAGCACTTGGGAGGCAGAGTTAGGTGGATTTCAGTGAATTCAAGGTCAACCAGGTTCAAAGATATAATCTCAGTAAGCCAGGACTGTTACACAGAGAAAGCCTGTCTTGAAAAAACAAAAAAATATTTATTGTGGAGCTGGGGAGATGGCACCGTTGGCAAAGCAGTTGCCATACAAGCATGAGGGCCTGACCTAGGATGCCCAGCACCCATGCAAGATTCAAGGTGTAGATGGGGCATCTGGAACTCTATTGGGAAGTGGGGAGCATGGATCCTCAAAACTTGTTTGACAGTCAGCGTAGCTAAAGGTGAGCGTTCTGTTCAGTGAGAGCCCCAGCCTCTAAAGACACGGTAGAGAGTGACTGAAGAAGACAGGGGATGCCAACTCATTCCTATACAGGAAAATAAATAATCACGGATATTTAATCCTAAAGCCAGGAGAACGACAAATATGAACACCCACTTCTGAAATTACACAATTTCAGACAATCCACCTGCCTCTGCCTCCCAAGTGCTGGGATTGCTGATGTGAACCACCACACTCAATGTATGGGTTCTGGGGATGGATCCAGGGCTCTGTGCATGCTGGGCAAGCACTCCAGCAGCTGAGCTGCATTCCCAGCCCTCTGAACCTCTCCTGTAAGTGGGAATGAAAAATCTTGCCCAGCGTAGGCGTTTAGTTCAGTGTTTGTCTTGTAGCTCATGATGTAGCTTTCAGTTGTTTATTAAATATGGAATCAGTATAACCCAGCAGCTAAATGGAGAGACTCTGGGCAGGCAAGATGGCTCATGGGAGAAAGGTACTCGCTGCCAAGTCTGAACACAAGTTCCGGCTCCAGGACTCACGTGGCAGAAGGAGAACAGACTCCTGCTTTTGCCCTCAACCTCCACATCTGTGTTTGGCACAGGCATATCTCTCCCAGAAATATATAAAATCTTTAAATGTTCTTTAAAAAAGCATTGGAATGATGTAAACCTGTTTTCCAGAACTAAAAACCATTACTTCTAAACTTGGTACCCTTGGGCAAGTGGCCAAGTCTTCCTCATCTTCCTCATCAATATCCTCATCTAAATTTAATATCTACCTAATAAAGTTGTGGTGATTCAAATGAGATGAAAGTAATGATCGCTAAATGTTGACTGTCCTTGTTACTTCCATGCCCCTTCAAAACATGCCCAGGGCCAAGGAGAATCCAGAGTTCCTGGAGGTAACCCTACCCCTGCAGATGAGCTTCCTCCCAGAGCAGAAGTAATAATAGGGAATGTCATAGTGGTTGTCTTCGTAAATTTTGCAGTCTCCAAGCTTCTTCGCCTCTTCATAGCACCTTTTATGATTCTCGCAGCACCTGGGGAGAGGAAGGAACAGCCGAGGCTGAGTGAGGACCCACAGGAGGTCAATTCTCACTTGCAGTCTCTTAA